CACACCTTACATTGACTTGAATGTGTGGCTAGGTTACTATTTAAGACTCAATTAACAGGTTAATGGTGTCTTAAATGTAGCATGTCAGGGGCCTGTTAAACATGTCATGATATATATTTGTATGATTCATCCTAATTCCATGATTTCTGTTTGCAAAGTTAAATGTATAAAAGTGGATTTTCTTTTATACATTTTCTCCTGAAAAAACTGTTTGGTAGTGTCCCAATCCAAATTTGCCATCATGTTCTCCCACAGGGATGAACTATGATTCACAGGCAGCAGATACGACATCAAAGAAGGAAATAAAAAACATGAGGACCAATTCAGCAAAGCATTTAAACATATGCTTAATGATCTAAAGTAAAATCAAAATTTTAAATAGGAGAATTCTGATGTTAGAAGGCAGGTTATCTATAGATTAAATTATATACAGGTCTTAATTATGTATGTCAATAGCCTCTATTTATACAAGAGCTAAATGGACAATCAGGCCACTGGCCAGAAAAGTATTTGGCAATGAATACAATAACAAAGGATTAGCACCAAGTAACAAAACAGGATAAAATAGTGGGGGAAAGTATGGCAGTTCTATGGACTTTTAATAAATACAGAGTGTTTTAAAGTCTGCCTGAGTGTGACTATAGCTCTTTTAGATATATTCATTATTACAAATACAGCTTAATGCAAAAATAAGGTGACAATTAGAAAAAAACTGAATCACTTTATTGCTGCTCTTTCCTTCAGAGAATCTGAATGTCCTCACATGTGGTAGCATTACACTGATGGCTCGACATGCTAATGAAATCATAACATCATGTTTTAAGCAATGCATAGAATCGCTCTATGGGTAGATTTTATATAGTGTAACATATATAGGAGGGCTGTCACAAACCATTCAGTTATTTTAGCAGAAGAAGAAACATCATTGTTCCTTAAATGAATGTATCAATTAGAAAGCTTAATAATATTAATTCAGATCATCATCTTGAAAGATACCTTTTTGTTGGCAAAAAACTCATGTTTGCACCATCAGCAAGTAGGCACAAACAGAGACTAAGCCTACCCACTTCAGCTTCCCTGAGAAGTCTAACAGAGGCAGGCCTAAGTTGCAAAGCAGCTCCAGCAAAAGAAAGGTTATGTGTGTAACTTTCCATTTCTGCAGCATTTGAAGCACGCTGCTGCTCCTCTGGCCACATCCAGACAAGTGCGGCCGTGAGGTATGTGGCACTACAAATGGCCGTGAGGTATGCAGTGTCACATAAAGCACATGCAAATGTTCTCTGAGCTGCCTGTGCATGCACTACTCCGCTTTTTTTTTTCCATGTGTTCCCGCTCCCTGGGGTATCCAGGGGTCAAAAAAAACCTGTAGAAAAAAAAGGTGGAGCAGTGCACACATGGGCAGTGCACCACTCAAAACCAGAACCAGGCTGCCAGCCAGGCTCCATGCAGTAGAGCCATCACTGCTGCAGTCCTGGGAAGCCTCCAGAGCTCCGGGTAAGGTTGCTGGGGCCAGCATAGTGCTGGCCCCAGCCTTCCCTACTGCCTCTGGGGTAACTTGCTGAGTCCCAAAGCGCACATGGCACCGCCGCTACTTGTCCCCAAGGAACCGGGCTGGACCCGATGATCTTAAGAGGTCCTTTCCAGCCCTAATCCCTATGAAATCTATGAAACCAAGCGTCCATGCTCATGTGGGCATGGCCTCTTAGTCCATTTAACTTTGACTGTGGAGAGTGCTTCATTATGCATATCATGGATGACAGAGAAAACTTTCTGGCACGCCCCTCTGCTGCAAACTTCACTACACAAACTCTCAGTACACTGTTGTATGCCTTTTCCAGATCCACAATGACCATGCTCACTTGCCACCATGTTTCTCTGAAAATAAATTGTGCTTCTTCTAATAATGGGATAAGGTTTACACTTCTGTATTTCAGCATTTCTGAACAGATGCTTTTCAATAATCTCCCAATATATCAAACTCCATGGCACCACCAGAACAGGATGATAACTAGCACACAATGTAATATGTAAAAACAGACACTACAAAACTTTTATGCCATTCACTTTCTTTGGTACTCTCTCTGACTTAAGAGAAACATTGCACAGACCTATACTTTGAAGCTTTTTATTTCCAACTGATTTCATCCAGTTCAAGTTCTCTTTTTCCATGTTTCTAAATTTTTCTTCAACATCTCTTTCTTGTATGGAATCAGTTTTGCCATAGATCAGCTTATGTACTCTTACTTCTTTCACTTATTTTCACTTGATTCATCATTCTTATGAAATAGTTAGTCCAAACTTCGTTAATCAGTTCTCCATTTGTTTGAAGTATACCATGTTCATTTATAATATAACCATCCCATTGTCCTTTGTTCTCTTGCCTTGGTGAAAATGTCCTCTTAGTTCATTATAAAGTCTATCACTGGCTACACTCTTAGCTCCCACTGTATTCTTTCTTTTTGCCTCTCTATATGCTACCCAATCACTGATCAAGCCTATGACTAGCCATTTTTCTTTTCAATTGATTTTTTTCACTTGAGAATTCTGCCACCAAGGGCCTTTGTCCACACCACAAAATTGGCCTTTAAAGCAGTTTAAATGCCCTTTTGCACCGCTTTAATGGCGCGTCTGTTTACACTGTCAGCGGCGTATTGCGCGTTAACTGACTTTGGGAAGTAGCAAAATAAAACATATCTGAGGTATTTTAGTTTGCTACCTTACAGCTGCGGAGGGAAGCACTGGGCCCTGTGCAGCTGAGGGGCTGTGCAGGAAGCCCATGTAGGCAGATCTACTAAAGAAAAAGAAAAAAAAGCAACAAGCTTGATCTTTTCCTTTTTTTTTCTCCCTGGAGCCTGCCTGACTAAGCTGCACGGGGGCCTGTTGCTTCCCTCCATGGCTGCGGTGCCCCCCAGGACTGCCTGGACTGGGTGCCTGCAGGCAGATGCCACCTGGGGGGTGCTACCACCACTGCGGTGGGAAGCACTGCCCCCCACCGCAGCTTAGGGATTGCTCAGCCCACCGGCAGCTCGCCCTCTCCCCCTGCCGCTAGAGACTCAGGTAAGGATTGGGCCTGACCCTTGTGTACATGCCACGGGGATTTACTTCAGTTTAATCTGAAGTGGTGTTTTTAAAAACCCACTGCTTCAATTTGGGGAGAATTAAACTGAATTAAAACCCCGTGGCATATACAAGTAGCCCAAGACTCCCTCCTTATTTGACTCAGTTCTGGTTTTGTCACTCCTAGGCTTTGCACCATTTCCATCATAGTTTAATTTGTACCAGTTTTCTTCTACCTATGCCGGTTTATAGCCAAAACCTGTATGCAGTACTTCATTTTGGAAAGTTTTTCTCATAGTCATCTTTAAGTTCCTACCCATTAGGATTTCCTAGTATCCAGGGTCTCAGGTCCATTGGGAGAAGGGGCAAATAACACTCATGCCTCAAGGCATGTCCACTTTTAAAAACATATAATTTAAACATTTAATATAATATGAATTCTACAAACATAGTTTTGTGGTTAACACTGCTTCTATATGAAAAGATTTATTTGATAAGCAATTGATTCCCTTTCCCTGTGCCAAATATTGCAGCTTCTAGCCAAATGAGAATTCCCACTGCGTACCAAGAAATTTTCAATATCAGTAAGGATTGTGGGACCAGGTACTTGCCTCACTTTTTGGAGACATTTTAAAATCTATTCTAAAATAACTGCTTGCAGAATGAAGCACACTTTATACCAAATGATCGAGTTAAAATAATTTCATTGCTGGTCCCATTCCAGTGAAAACTAGAGAGCTGTCCTGATTGCGCCTCTCCCATCAAATCTTTCTGCAAGGCAGCAAATGTCAAAGTGTGCTGTGGAGTAAGAATGAACTGAAAAAATTGCATGAAACATCAATTTTTGAAAAGCGTATGCCAGAAATTATAGCCTGCTGCTGTTCCAGTCACTTGTTTGGTAGTTTCACTAATTGTAATAAATGTTCTGAACTTTTATGAACTGGCACCTAAGTAACAAGAGCTACTTTATCCTATATTATAAAATCTATAGATTAGCCCTTGTTGCAAAATGTAATTTTTACAGTAAATACTTGCCAATTACTTTCCAGCATGAAAGCCTTTAATTAAATTATGCATATGAAATCTGACTGGATTCCTTGAATCATGAGAGGATTGCCTTTTTCATAACCTGTTCCCTGTGTCAAGAAGAATAATCATAAAAGATATGGCAAGTAAAAGCACTTGAGAAAACCTGTATTTCCCCTGCAATTTCATTCCACTCAACAGATATAAGTTTTCTACATGGAACTTTATTTCTATAAGTAGACATTGTGTGTTGATTATTTTGAACCTGAAATCACAAGGGACATGTTGTAATTAGATTTACTTTGGTTGGAATTGAAAATGTATTGTAGTTGTCAAAATGCCCAGGGCACGTATTCTAATATAACTTCACTGAATTTATTTATATGTGGCAGAGACAGTCAATATTTGAGGTAGGAACTGTCAATAAAAGCAAAAACCTATTAATATGTATGTTATAGAAAGTGGCTTCACCAGTTAAGTACTATATCTTTGTTTCACAAAGAGTCACTACACGCTTTGAAAAACGTGATCTTGTAATGGAAAACACTATTTGTCTTTCAAAAATGTGGTCTTTCAATACAACCCCTATAGTTTACTATAAAATCTAATGTAATCTTAGGAAAACAAAGTGGACAAGAGAAGCAAAAGGTAAAATATCTAGTTACCATAGTGTTTACTCTCAGTAACATGGTGAAAAAAATCCCTTTCTGTTGCTTATGCAGAACACCCTGGTTTTTTGCTGGTGACAAGGTGGTAGATGTAGCATAGTATCTCTTATACACACTGGCCTGCAAACCATACTGATAATTGTGGGCAGCCTCATTAGTATCTTTCAATGTGCATTATCAATCTCTTCAGTTTTTCCACCATGGCATGATTGTGCCTGTCATTTACAATTTGTTTTAATCATTCCCCAGGTCTCCTGTTATGGCTGGAGGTCTGTTTGCTGTTGACCGAAAGTGGTTTTGGGAGCTGGGCGGCTATGATCCAGGTTTAGAAATATGGGGAGGAGAGCAGTATGAAATCTCTTTTAAGGTAAGTCATCGAGTCACTTCCATATACACCGCCTATTCTGTTTGGTATGATTCACGTTTTAGCAGTCTGGCCCCCAGTTTTGAATACGCCTTGTTATTTTTATGTCTTTACACATATTGGCTCTTGCTATCATTAACCTCATCCCATACAATAATTCTTTTGCTTTTATAAGGAGTTTTCACTGTTTTCAGGGAAAAGTGCACCGTACAATCATGAGCCAGATTCTAATCAAACTATTAGGCATTTAAGTGGACTTAGATGTCTGAGTGTGATTTTGTTCTACCCTGTTGAAGTCCCTGAAAGACAGTTTATGCAAAAAGTGGATGATTCCTCCTCCCTGCTTTTTTGTGACTCAGTCTTAAGGGTAAGATGACGGGGTTTTACAAAAGTAGATGCATTAATGTATTTTCATAGACTTGAACCCAGAATCACACTATCTGCCTAATTCCATTTACAGCCTTAATAAGACTATATGCCCCATATGTCAGTCGCATAGAAATTACATTATAAATGGCATAGTAAATGCCAGATTTTTAAAGTATATTCCCTAATTGTATGTGGGGTTTTGTACTGCCTAGGTTAATTGCACAAATATAGTCTGTGCATGCAAATCAATTATTTGCACCTATCTAGTGGCTTCTTCATAGAGGCTAAGTACAGGTATTCAAGAAGGTGTAAGTGCTCTAAGATTAGGGCTGGAGCAAGCAGCCCTAAGATTACTAAGATTAGGGCTGGAGCAAGCAGAACACGTTAGCCCTTATGGGGGTTGCGGAGACAGGGGGGTTGGAGCCTTCCTGGATGGTCCAAGCCCAGCAGGTAGAGGGGGTTCTTGCACACCTCCCAGCATGTCCTGCAGACTCCCTGAGCTGCCAAATACTCCCAAGCAGAGCCAAATGACAGAGCCACCCCTGATGGGCTGGGGTGGGGGGCACATCACAGTTGCCTACCTGCACCTGATGCAGCAGGAGTTCCCCTTTCCCCTGTCCCTCCCCAACACCCTCTAGGGGTACACATTGGGCTGCAGAGAAGTGCAGCCCAAAGAGGAGACTTGCCTTGTTTTAATTTAATGTTGAAGCTGCCACACTTTTAGTGTTTTGTTTTTTTTTAAAAACCCCGTGGAACATTGCCTGCTCTGGAACTTGGAAACTTCTTCTAAGTTAACATTGAGAGAGTGATGAAATACCCTGGCTGCACCAGGCAGTTATGACATTTTTACAGTGATGGGTGTGGGTAGTTGTGGGGGCTCAACTTAAGAAACACGAAACCTTGGGGCAGCAGGGGGAATGCCACATGTGAAACTGCCACCTCTCGATTTAATTAAATGTTGCTGCAGCCAAACTTTGTGTTTGTATAATAAAGAAAAACTGTAGAAGGTTGCCTGCCTGGAACTTGGACCCGAGCCCAGAGGGCTGCCTATCTTCACAGAGGCTGCACCACTCCCCTGCAACATGACCTGGGCACAGAGTGGCCTGGCCCGGTGAACTGGTGGGCCTCCTGACCCTTCTCCCCCCCTCCCCGATTCTGAGTACTCCTGCACCCTTTGGGGACTGGGCTGGGACCTCTTTGGGGCCCTGCACCTATGCCAACAACTGCCAGCGGCTGGGGGTACTGAGTTGGTCCTGAAAGGTGAGCTGAGTCGGTGCCAGCCCTGGCAGCAGATCTTGGGTATCCTGGTCCCTTTCCCCTCCCCTATGATGCTGCTCCCCAAAGTAGGCCCCACTGAACGTGTTCCTGACTACCTGGACCATGGGTCAGCAGTTCCCACATGCAATATCTCCTATTCCCAGGCTTCCCTGGCCCCCAGTGGCAACACGTAGTGGGTGCACATGCACCCTCTGAGTTTGGTAGTGCACCCCTTGTAAAAAGCGCCGCTGATGCTGCTGGCGGTGCCACCCCCTCCCGCTCACTGCCAACACCGCCACCAGCATCTGCAGGTGGTACCTGATCGCTGCTGGATGCCGCCGACACTGCTGGCAGCATCTTCAGGTGGTCACCAAGTGCCAGTCGGTGCTCACCACCCCCACCTCCCTCCACTGCCAACATCTCTGTGGCTGCCTGCAGGAGCTCCCTGCTTGGCCTGGCCCCACCGCTGACACTGCCGTGGCTGCCTGCAGGAGCTCCCCACTCGCTGCTGCCATGCCCCCACTGCCAACACTGCCGACGCCACCTGCAAGCGGTCGCCATACCCCCCCCAGCCTCCAGGGGCATGCAGCAAACATGCCATCCCCCCAGCATCTCCCAATAAATGCACAGTATGGAGCATTCCCCCCATGGCTGCCATCCCCCCCTACCCCTCGTGGGACGGTCATGAATGTTGCCCCAGTGAGGAGTCGCTAGAGCAGGGCTCTCCATGCCAAGGGAGTAGGCAGCATATTGTCACAATGAATGTATTGTATTATATTACCATTTCCTGAAACTCTGTCTATTAGTTGAAGGCACAGCCTGCCCTACCATTCCTGCCTATTAGGGCAATGGTCTCCCTGCAGAAGGCAGCGTTGATGACACTTAGGGGTGTCATAGCTGTATCCCAAGTGGTCTTTGACCCTGTGCGTAAACTCCTTATCCTGGCGTTGTGACTTTCTCAGTTCCATAGTGGTGAGGGTGGCCTGCCTGAGATAGTGGGTGGACATCTGGAGACCTCAGTCTTGGAACTTCTCAGTGCATTCCTGGGCCCAAATAGCTTGTTCAAGTGCCAAACAAGTCCTCCATTGGGCATGACCTTGATAGAGAAGCGTGGGTCAAGCTGAACAAAGTGAGATCTGAATACGTACGCTTCAAAACAACACTGTACAAGATCAACATCTTGGACAGCCCTCTGTGTGAATGCAGCATCCAGCAATCAGCGCAGCACTTAATTAAAAGCTGAAATCTCTCCAAATGCCCAGACAGGGTAGATGGAATCTGTATACTGAGCAATAATACCAGACAGTGGCTCATAGCTGCCTGGAAAGATCAAGAGAGAGGCAGGGTTGGAAACAGGTGCTTTGCTGACTGTTGTCAGTGACAGCCCAGGGGCAGGACCAGCCCAGTGCTCTGGCAGATCACACAAGCTCTGGCTGAGGCTAGAGCATTACCCTGGGAGTGGGGGTGGGGGTGATCAGGGTGCCACAAAATCCCATGGGCTGCCAGCAGAATGCGACCTAACATGAGTCACAATTGGATGTGGCACAGATGTTCATCATGGTGCTCTAATCTATGGTGCTGAAGTCTGATACCACATCCATCCAGGGTTATCTCAGAGCAGGATCTGCCATTTTTACTGCATTCAATGTACCCCGCTCAGTTATGGCTGTAGAGCACTTTCTGTGCACTTACCATGCAATAAGTGTAACCTCTGTACCCAGCCATAACAGCCTTCAACTAATAGACAGAGTTTCAGGAAATGGTAATATAATACATTAATCAAGCATGTTTCACTAAATTTGGATCTGAAACTAGAGTTCATATTTTCCTTTAGGATCTTTCTAATCTAACTCTAAATCTAGTTCTAAACCCAGTGACATTCCTTTAATGAAATTAAGCATGTCAGTCATAAGTTATATTGTCCATCTGGCTGCATCTGAGTTTCAGCACTGATTAAAACAATGATGGCAAAGACAAACAACTGACTGAAGCGCACAGGAAAAAAACCTTGTAAAGTCAGTATGCCATACTACTAGCTTGTCCTTATAGGCGTTCTCTAGAACAACAAAACAACTCGTATTCACTGTGCTGTTCTTATGTTACTTCGAATCAGCTTTATATCATAACAAACAAAGTTGGAGGACAAGATCACTAGATCATGCTGTCTAGGACACATTACAGTAATTAGACTTCTGTATATTTAGGTATTTTCAGAGAGGCAAACGTAAACTGACCCTTGGATCTGTCACATCTCTGCTAGGTCACCTACAATTGTATTCGTCCATTTCCTATTTTCCTGTTATTTGTCATTGTGAAGAATATAATTGGAATGCAATCCATTCCTCTTTGTATAGAAACCATGGTAACGGCACTGGAAGTTCAGATGCTAGATTGCCCCAGCCTGTTTTCTTCGAGTGATAGATTCTTTAGAGACAGCAGTGTCACACTGGGTCCCATTTCAGTCACATCTCCTCATTCATCTCATTACTGTTTGTTGACCTTAGGGGCCCTGTCCTTCCTTATTAGTATTAGGGGGGAAAAAACCCTTTAAGCAGCATTAGTCCAGAAGGAATAGTAACTTTCTATTGGTAGAACTCAAGGAGAGAAAAGTTTTATGCAGACAGACTGCTCTATCCATTGGAAAAGGGAAAAGCAAGAGTGGGAGGGAAGGCGAGAGAACTTGAGAAAAATATACTTTTTGATACATATATAGTGAATTCTCCCCAAAAATTGCATTTTTCATCATTCCAAAGCTATTTGCAAAATAGGTCAAATAGGTTACAAAACAATTTTCAGGGCTAGATTCACGCAGTTGGAGTAGGAGGTGATGGACTTCTCACCTACTCTATATAACAGCGCAATGGTTAAGGAATTCATCAGTTCTGGAAGACTTGGATGCAATTCCTTCTTCTGCCTCAATCCACAGCTTTCTTCCATCCCCTAACAGAGAATGCCGTAACCACCAGCCTTCTAATGTATTCAGAGTAAGGGTACTCTCATTCTCTCCTTTTGATGTTGCACATCACAAACAATTAAATATTCACTGAAGTAGGGACTGCAACCCAAATGTCCTGCCTGCTGAGAGAGTATTCTGTATAGTCATTCTCTCTCGCTTTCTGGCTCAATTAATATTTATGGATTTGATATGAAGTAGAACAGCTCCCACAGGGGGAAACCCCACCCCAGCATGCTCTACTGTCTGATGGCTAGGGCATTTGCTTGAGACCTAAGACTTTCTCAAGCAGGCAGAGAGTCAATTTGAACTTTCATTTCCTGCTTTCCGGAATCATGTCATAATTACCAGGCTGTAGGGTGTTCTGAGCTGGATGTCTCTCCATCTTCTGTTGCAGTTGTTCTGTATTGTATAAAATTCTTAA